AAATTAGAAATATTTACGGAGAAAGCAAAAACACATAAAACAAATACAAACTTTCTAAAACAAAGGCCTTTGCATTATGACGGGTGCTTCTTGGAATATGTACAATAGTCACATTTATAGGGATTTGAGCATCCTTTGAGTAACTGAGGAAATAAGGAACCTTGCCATAACACATATACAAATCGCGTTTGAAATAGGATGTAAATATTAAGGCCTCTCGGTTCATAAGGGAGAGGCTTAGCACAAAAAGAATGAACGAGATCTCTCGATTTAACACTTTCTATTTCATGAAATGTAGATATAAAAATACGATAGAGCAAAAATAATGGTTAGTGAGTTTTTTAGTTTTAAGAGTTTAGAACCACCAAAACTAAAAAACTTAAGGTGCACTTCGGGTTGGGTTAAAGTCTAAAAATAAAAATTAAGTTTAAAAACTAAAACAAATAAAAAAAATTTTTTTAAAATTTAAAAAAAAAAAATATTTTGAGTTTTAAATTCTTTCAGTAATTGAGTTGTGAATCACAAGTTAATAGTAAGTGACATGAGCCGCTCCTGATGCAAATGTTATGTTTTATGCTACTAATTGTTTTAAGTTTCCCTACAAGTTTTCTTCGATCATAATACAACTTACACTGAGTGTTCTTTTCGCATAGAAGTAGTTAATCAATTTAATCTTAATGGTATCATTATCGAGCATGAATTCAGTATTCTGCTGCATTGAAAACTTACCTTCGTTGTGAAAGTGGTTTAAATTATACACTTAAAATGTTGTCTTTTCCATTATAAATTTTGAGCATGGCTTATTTTGTCAAGATAATGCTTATCGAAATAAACTTCGCAGTTTACTGTTATTGCAAAAATGCGTTATTAAAAAAACATACAATAAGAATCGGTTCTGTCGCAAAATGGACCTATTTCGAAATTTAAAAATTCTCCCAATTATGCATTTACGTTTATTATTATAAAGTTTTAAAATTGTTTTTTATATAAGGAAGGTATTTGAACAGTATAAGAATATTCGCGAATTATAGTTTACGTGCAAATTATATATTTTTTGTAAACATTCCTGAATGAAATAATTTGGTTTCTGTGCACTTATTCATAATAAACAATCAGTATTTATTCACAATAAATATCAGTATCTTATTCATAAAAACAATCAGTAATTACATTTTCGTTAAAAGGGTAAAGTTATGGCTTTTGGGTTTTGAGCAAACAAAAATATAAGACTTGTTAACTAATAAATGACTAATTTTTAATAAATTTTGAGTAAAATAAAATGCTTTTAAGTAAAATTATAATGCATTTTTTTTCATTGTTACCCGTAATATAAGTAATATTTTTTGTATTCTAAGTTTGCCTTAATTTTATTTATTATAATAAAATTTTACTTTTGTCCTAATTTTATTTAGTATAAAAAAATTTTATTTATTACAAATATAAAACAATGTAAAATATGCAGAATAAAGTACTATTAATAAAAAAAAATAAAAAAGTAAATTATTCTTGATATGCTACAATTATACAATAGCAATGTCTATACTTTATTCTTATTTTAAATATTATTACTATCCGTATCTATGAACCTGTTTACTATTTACCTAATTTCTGGTAAATTATAATTATTATGCATAATTACTATGTACGAAGTTATCCTAATGCTTGTTCTTTGATTCTTTGCAGAAACACTAAACTATATCTTAATTTATTTCATAAATCTTTAATACTTTAGATTTACTAGAATACTTTACAATTTAGATGATCCGTTGTGGTTTTTCAGGCTGATATTTTCGTCAGTTGGATGATGAGATTTTTTCCTATTCAAACTGAATTTTATAATTGAAAAATAGCTTAATACCGTTTCCTAGCACTGATTATATACGATTATTAAAAATTTATATTCGGAGGTAAAGTTTAACTAATTTATTATAGAATTTATGGTTTTGGTAATAGGTAATAAGTTCTACTAACCGATTCTCCTGGACTTTTGAAATATAAGAACATCCTTCCCAGAAGAACACACCAACATCTTTTTGAGTGACCATTTTTTACTTTCATAACCCATCCGTTAAGTGTTGGCCTTTGATCGTCTTTGCTCAGTAGTAATCGGGTGGCATTTCGCCTTTGCACATTTTGAAGTACTCGAATCCATTCATCCATTCCAGTGTTAGAGTCAGCAGTTAAATAATAAGTTTTTATGCCAGTGTTTATCTCAAATGTTGAAGCTCCATCAGCCTTGCCTATTTTACATGCATCGTCTAGTAAAATTTGACCTTGCGGCTTTCTGTTAATGTCATTTTGGCATTTCCAGTAATAAAGTTGACCATTTTTTAAGACAAACCATCTTTTACGCCAGGTTTTTAGTCTACCTCCCAATTTTGTCAAATATCCCACCTAAAGTTGAAATAAGTTTAACAGTGTCATAAGCTTAATTTATTGAACGTTTTATTTTCAAAATATTCTGTAGAAATCAATTTTTTTGTAACATACCTTTTCAAAAGATTCAATTTTTCTATTTGGAGAATCCACATATGAAGATCTTGCAATAAGTAATTGTGTAGTATTATCCAGCCCAATCGGTTCTAAAACTGCATCTGGTGGTAATGCGTAATCGTCTGAAATTCCAGACTCGAAGGCAGGCCTTGATGGTACTATTTTTGAACATGCAACGAAAATTGCAAACCGAAAATATTTTTTTTTATTATCAGTAAGGGAAATATTTTATAACAATAAAGAAAAATTTTTATGTAGAGCAAATTTATTAAATTTAAAAAATTATTCGAAAATAAGGAACTAGAATGCCTTTCCCAAAAGTTTGAAGATTAGATGAAATATTATACTATAATTTATTGGAATTTTAAGCTCTTAAACTGGAATTCAAAAATTATTAATTCAGCAGAAGGACGTAAATGGTCACATATGCCGATTAGGAGTTGATTACTTTTCTGCAGAGACCTGAAACGGTCGAGGCTTTTGAATTGAACTATCCATCGGTGGGATCCGCCCTAGTAAACCCAAAAGTTATAGAGCTTGATTGGTCAGATTAGCTGACTTTTCAACAAAGCTAAGCGAGAGGGTACCTAGAAAAAGCACAGACGCAAAAACTTCAAATCATTCTACGCGAGCATAGTGAAGACACTGGAAGAAAGTTTTAACAACGACATCTTTAAGGAGACCGATTGGTGGCTATACGGAAGTCGCAAATCAAAGGGCTTATTTTCCTCCTAGTCTCGTTTTCCTAGAAGTATATCGAATATAGAACATCATATCCCGAAAATTGGCGAGAATCTGCTTGAATATTTACGTACCAAATGATAAGCTGGTCTGTTGGCACTTTTCAGCCTTCTAGAACGGCGGAAATGGATGGGGATCCTAAAACGGGGGCTGAAGCAAATTGATTCTTTCTAAATAAGAATATTAGGAGCAGTTTGTCTGTTGGTATTGCTTATCTTCGGTGAAAAGGAATTACAAGGTTTCAGACCCAATTATGCCCAAATTATTTTATTGAAGACGATAGTAGCACGTTTGGGGTTATAGATGCGTACTTCATAAATAATGAAACTTATAAAATTTTTAACTGTGAATCATCAGTGTCCTTTGGAAAAATATAAAAATCTGGTTTTTTAAGTGTTAAAATAATTCGCACATCGTTGTTTATTAGAAGGCTAGGTTGGTTTAACATGTCCAAGTGTAGTTTACGCCTCAGCTATTATCGTAAAGCTGTAGCGATCCATTATTGTCTGATGTTGCTGTTTGCTGTATTTAATATCGAATTCTGAGTTCATACATTCAATCGTAATTAATCAAAAATATATGCTTTTCCAAGCACATTTTCCAAAAATTTTTGAAAAGTAGTGCTTATTAGTTTCACTCTGTCTGTCCGTGCGTCCGTGGACATATTCACAAGACTTCTATACCCTTGAAGACAGAAACATTTTATATATACAGAAAAAGAATTATATTGTTATTACATGTAAATTCTTCTGTACTTATTATGTTATAAGTACAGAAGAATTTATATGTACATAGAATTTATATATATATCTTTACCAGAAACTTCTTTTCGTACAAGAAAATGTTTACAAATCTCCCCCCTCTGAAAGTTATAACCTCCTAAAACCTAAAAATGGCATTCTTCAACTATTTATTGCAGTGAAGCCATTAGCATTTTCCAAATTTTGCAAACAAAAAAACATAGCGGCTGTCTTCTTGTAACACTGCATACAATATTTGAACTTTAAAAATATAATATGGCCGTTAAAACTTACCGTTATCTAAAATCCGTTTTTCCCAAATTTTTGATGTCGTGTTTCTTCTAGACCCTAACTTTTCAAAGTTTGAAATTTTAGCAGCTTTTAAACACTAATAAATTGTTCAATTCACTACAAGAAATTTTTTTTCTACCTCAAGCCCCTCTCAAGTTATCGGCTCTCGAAATTTTTACAATTTATATAAATTTTTGGCACCTTATATTTCCGAACCCGCAGGCTTTTTCAACTTTCCATAAGTTTAAAAAGATAAATTCGTACCGTTAAAGACTATAATTGTTTTTCTTAACTTTGTAGCGCGTTTTTATTTTAATTCATATGCATTTTTGCTAGTTGTATAATTTATGTACATTTTTTGATGATAATATACGTTCTATAGATGTTATCATCACTCGACTTTAAGAAAAAAAATGCAATGCGCAATGTATTAGCCATTCTTACACAAGGAAGAAAAAAAAATTTTTGTACTTTAAAGGTAGATGAGCCATTTTTTCTTTACTAAGGTAAAAATGAAAATAAAAGTGCTTTACGCACGCTTTCTGTTATTTCTGATTTCCTGGTAAATTAAAAATATAAACATAAGGTATTTCAAGGACCTACACCTGACTGGTCTTGAACAGAATTCCGGCAAAACCAACGAACTCTCGTTACCTTCTCCTAACAAACTTAATAAAGAATAAAGGAGGTTAAGAAACTTCCTGGCCTTCAAATTACAACTGAATGCTTACAAGTACAACAACTTCACCAAACAACTCATCAACACCCTTCGAGTGTTGGATTTTAAAACAGTTCTAGAACAAAATATTTAAATGCTATCTTTTCAACGAGATCCCATTTTCTCATGCTTGTAATTTTGCTATTTAAATATTATTAAAAAGTCTTTGAAGAGCATTTCAAAAACTATTCTAACGTATAGCCAAGAAAATGTTGGACCCGCCCTACACTTATACATCTGCGAATACGTATTATATTATAAGAAAAATGATGTTGTATGAAATAGAGTGACGAAATATTTTTATAGTTATAATTCTAATTTACCCCTTTGTTTTGTATTTTTTGGACTTTCAGAGTCGCTTCTTTTAGCTGGGCTTAAACTGGATGATGTTTTCACACTTTTCGACGGACTTGAAGCACTACCCGACGTGCTTGTTTCAGTATTTTCAGCACTGGATGAATTATGAGAATTGTTTGCTACGACAATTGCATGTTCTTCCCCTTCACTAGAATCATCACTTGAATCGCCGGTAAAAGGTGTAGCCCTAATTTGTGATGCACGCTGAAAATTAAACAATAAGGGGAGTTTCTTGAGTACTAAAATGAACAAATGGTACCCCTTTAATTGTCGAATAAACTGGCACACTTATATCGCAGAATCCTACACTTATTGCTTGTTCTTCCCGTCGTTCTTTAGCTATTGACGAACTACAGGACACTAAATCTTCACCGATATCCTTTTTCAATGATTTTAATGGTTCATCTATTTCATCCCCTGGTCTAAGACCGTCGTTAGCTACTTGATATATTTTTGCTTCCCAACTAGGGAATCTATGTAATGGAGGCGTTGGAGGTCTCTGAGTGTTTTTGTTCAAACTATTCACTTTTTCAAAGGAATTAGAGCTAGTTTTTATTTCACTTGAAGTATTGCTTTCGTCAACTAAATTGGAATCATTGCATCTAACCCATATTGGAAAATGTTCTTTCGAGGGAGTATAAATTTCGGCGTAATCCTGGGCAATGTCTGTATCAGAGCTATTTGAACTAGGAGACCTATGTATGCGCGATTGCTGTGATAACGAGCCGATGTTTATTCCGTCAACTGAAGTAATTAAATTATGATCTAATTCCTGAGGTTCCATAGATAACTCTCTTCTGTGGTTATGACTTGTTGTTAAGGGGAAGTCAATATTATCCAATTGTGGATCTAAAGATTCACTCTTACGGCGAGAGTTTGATAGTTCACTAAAATCTGACACTTCCCCTGCTAAGCTGTTACGAATATTAGTTGCCCTTAAGATACTACTGTGTCTGCTTGATGATACGGCAATATGATTTCTTAAAAGCTCCAATTGCTGATTGCATTTTTGATTTTGCTCGCGGAGTAATTGATTTTGTTCTTCTAGTTCGCGAAGTTTATTGGTAACCCATTCCTTTATCCTTGCTGCTTTTGCTTCAACGTGGCGAGCCTCCTGTATTCTCAGTTGCCTTTGTTGTTCGACCTGAATTTCGAGATTTGTTATAGTTTCTTCAGCATTCGTTGTAGAAAATTCTTGGGAATGTATATTATTGATAATTAATTGTATATTTTTATTACTTTTCACTTTAATTTGCTCTACATGAGTTTGTTGCAAGATATGGTTTTGATGAATTGTTGAATTATTCGTTTTCCTCCAATCGCTCAACCGTTGTTCCATAGCATAAGCCTATAAAAATTTGAGAATTTGTATAACAAAGTTAAGTAAATGAAATTGGTGACGAAACCTAAAATATGTACAATAAAAAAATTGAAATAACTACAATATATTAATAATAACTAAAATATTTCTGGTGAAAAGCACATGCTTTATATATTACAATTCAGATGTAATTGGGTTCAGTTAAAATCTTAAAGAAAATGGTAATTATTTTAAAATTAATTTTTTGATTTTATATGTAATGAATATTAAGATATATATTATTGAATACAATTTTTATAATGACGTTAGAATCCGAGACTCTTCGGGTAAAGGACCGAAAATAAAGTAGCCTTAAATATTCATAATAAAACAAACTGCGGTAGGCCAGTCACCTACGTAGTTAAAAACCCAATAACGCACGACGCTGGGGCATGCCTACCTGCCATATCATGCACAAGCTCTATCGTCCACCTAGAGTTGAAGAAAAAAAAAACAAAAGTTGATCAGTCCGTGCCGTATACAAAATTAAAGAAAAAGAACTAAATAAAAATATGAATAGCATGAATACAATCTTGTTTATTCAAACAATAAATAATGCATGAAAGTGTGATATATGAAAATGAATGAAGATTTTTGTTTGCTAGCAACTGCAGCGATTACCAAAACAAAGCTATGATGTAAAAAAAATTTTATATAAATTAGAAATAGTGGTGTTAAACTTCACTGTAGTGATTAATTTGAGCTGCTTAAGATTGAAATTTTCGAAAAACGGTGGGGAAGAGCTGCAACATCTAATAGGCATTTTGAGGGGTTAAAGAAAATCTGATCGGAAAATTTCTATTAAGCGTACAATTTAAGTTTGTGAAATAATTAACAATAAACATAGCTCATATAATGCATTACAATATGCACCAATATGAACGATACAGCGATCAATACACATATATTGATATTCGTTGTTTTTGCTTATACGTATACAAAATTTCAAAACGTAGTATAAACGCCTACACTATATTTAATTCAACCAATCAAATCTATAGTGATGAATATATTTATTCACAGGATGCAATTAATAATCACAATGACGGGAATTTTAATTTAAATGATTTAGAAAATAATTTTACATTATTATCACAATATAAATGTAGTTCACGACGCGAATATACAAGAATAAGTTTATTCAAGAGCCAATAGCTTACACTCTTTTGTACGATCGCCCATATTTATTTATCACATTTACCTTCAAATTCGATAAAATAAAATAAACCCGCATGATATTCCATTCCACTTGTTAAAAAAAAACTAAAATCAATAATAGATTTTATAATTTTATAATATCAAGACTTTGGTTAAACTCAGTGTTTGATATATTTCATTGAATGGTAAAAAGGTAAATGAGCCGGAATAACGTTATATATTATTTTATACAGTAGTTATGATATCGGTTTTTCAACCAAAGTGTTCAAATTCTGGGTAGGTCACAGTAAAAATAATTCTGAATATTATAGCTAGATGTCCAATATTGTAAAATAAAAATTTAGTATCAAAAATAATTACCAATATTGAATACTATTGAATACTTTTCCACAATAGTTACAATAGTTAATTTATTATATTTATTGGAAAAATTTTTTTATTTTACAATTTAATAAAATCTATTTATTTATTTATATATATATTTTATTGCTAAACTTTAAAAGTGATTATCGAATCAAAAAGTAGATTGTGTGTATCAAAATTGCACTCAGTCGATGAAATTTGGTAAAACATTTTTAATTTTGGTTAACCTTGAACTTGAATACATAAAAGTAATTTTTTTTTCATGCTAATAATTTTCATTTCTAGTTAATCTTATACTTGATTTAATATTACACACATAGATAAATAAAAATTATTTTTGACTTTTATTAATTTTAAATGCTACAATTATAAATTATTATTCATTTTTAGCACTTTTCAAAAAACAATGCTTATTAGTTTCACTATGTCCGTCCGCCCGTCCATCTGTCTGGTTACAAAACTTTTACACCCTTGAAGATAGAAACTTAAAATTTTATATGTACATAGGTCTTTACGCATTTTTCACATTTTGGAAACGCAGAAAAGTAGTGGCTTGCTTCTTCTATCACGGCATACTATGCTTGAACTTTAAAAAAACGAAATGGCCGCTAAAATTTACGTTTATCTGAAGTCAGTTTTTTTTCAAATTTTTGGTCACGATTTTCTTCTACACCGTACGTGGTAGGAAACTGAAATTTCACATCTGTTAGACAATAATAAATAGTTCATTTCGTTAGAGGAAAATTTTTTTCCACTTCCACCCCCTCTCAAGTTATCGCCTCTTAAAATTTGTAAAATTTGAATATTTGGCATCTTCTATTTGCGAAACTGCAAGCTTTTTTAAATTTCTATAAACGAAGAAAGGTAACGGCAAACTCTATGCCATTAAAAAATATAATTGTTTTTCTTAACTCACACAATTAACCCTTAAAATCGAGTATTATGTTAACCCTTCTTTATATTAATTTTTGCTTTATTTCAAAGACTGTATAAATCTCTCATCCTAAATATATGCAATCCTAGAAATAGTTTCGTATAGGAATAAAAATAATTTTAATAGTGTGGTAGGTATACATAGACTGTTTCTAAAAGAGGCATTTTTACTTGTTGAAGGGAAAAGTGCTACAATACAAACCATTGGTTTGAATTAACTTTATTTTTTTTAAGTGTGATTACTCTTGTAAGGTCATTTTGATTTTTATGCTCTTTGCCCTTTGTTAAGTTATATTTTGGTTGCTGCCGCTTCTTACGTGTTTGGAGTCTAAGTAAGTATTAATTTGACCATTGTTTCCAGAATTGCTGATTCTTTTCTTCTACAAGTTCTCATCGCCGAAGCTGATTTTCTTGCATATTCATTATATTTTTGGTAGGTACATTGAATAGTTTTTGGCCTACTAAAAAGTGTCCTGGTCTTAACTTATCTATATCATCTATGTCTCCTGTAAATGGTGTAGGTGGACGGGAATTTAAATCAATTTCGTTTTTTTTCTAGAAGGGTTTCTAATTCTTCAAATGTGGGTTTAGTTTCGTCAATAGCTTTTAAGAGATGACGTTTTGCCGATTTAATTCCAGCTCCCCATAGTCCCCCAAAATGCGAAATGCCTGCAGAAATAAAATGCCATTGAATTTACTGTTCTGATATAAAATGGCCCAATTTCTCGTTGATTTTTAATTGGTTGTATTCTTCTACAAAGGTTGTACCGTTGTCACTGTACATATGCGCCACATTTCCTCGCTGGATATTGCTGATATGGTTTCAAGATGAAACGCTTTAGGTACAAAACAAACAAACAGACAAATGTAACCTTTTATTATTTTGGCGTTACGCAACGTTGATGTAAGTTGTATTGGATCAGCAAAGTCAACACTCGTGTGAGTAAACAGTAGAAAAATAGTTACTCTAACTGAAGGTAGATTATCCATAAGTTGGGTGTTTGGGCGTGCGTTGTATCTGCGACCAACGACACACTCCGCTATTCACTTCTTAACTGTATGGAGTCCGATGGTAATCCAAAATTTGCCCAGGATCCATGACATGGTTGAATTTTTCCCTCCATAAAGTCTTTTTTGGTGTGCGTGGCCTGTTATTAATTACGCCAAATGACTAGAACCTGATATAAAAATAGGATTTTTGGAATTGTCGTCGATATTTCCTTTTCGTAGTCTGCCTCCCACTCTTAATATACCATCTTTCAAAAATGGACGAAGATCTAGTATCTTGCCGTTACCAGGCAGTAACTTTTTTTTATTAGGTAGCTAATTTCTATGTTCTAGATAGTTTGTTCTAGGTTGATTATGGAATACAGTGCAATTTCCAATTCAGTTGTTGTTAGTTGTATTCTTTCTTCTTGGATTTTTTGCATTATTACAAGATCTTTGAGAGAAGGCGATACTTCTTTGTAGCCTTGGTAATGATGAAAATCTTTCAATGGAAAGAGTTTTGATTGGCTTTCTTGTTAACGTAAGGCAACTAATTTCAAACCCAACTGTGTTGGTTGAAGTGCCTTGTCTGTCACATTTATTGTATCATTCTGTAGCCATTCTGGTCCTGACCATCACAATTTGTTTTCAATTATTTGTTTCGGGCAGACTCCTCTTGACGCCAAGCCAGCAGCATTTTCAGTCGTGTTAACATAATTCCAAATAATCTCCTTTGGTGATTTTTAGATAATTTTAACGCGGATAATTTTAACGGGAATCAGTCCATGCATACACTACTATATTTGACATTTCTAAATCATTTGCAACCTTATTAAGCAGTTTCATTAGTAATTCTGGCCCTTTTAGTTCTAGTCTCGGTATTGAAAATTTTTGTGAAGACGATGCTTACTTTGTTTGGCGGTGATTAATGTTGTTTTTTAACCGGTTCGGTGCAGTCGCGAGTATACTACTCCCGCATATGCTCTACCTCAAGCGTCACAGAGCCCATGAAGTCAAGTGGTTTGATTGAAGTGTAGAAAAGCTACCTTGGACTTTTACATAATCTCTAAACTGCAATTGGTTGCGAAAATTAACGTATTTTACGATAATAGCTCATACCAATCAATATTTTTGTTCTATATGTCTTGTAGAATCATTTTTGTGGTAAATACAACTGGAGCTACCCGCCCAAGTGGGTCGAAAATATATTTAGGTTTGTTTGGCAGGCCGATTATTATTCTAAATTTGTCTTCTTTTGTATACTATCGTATTCGTGACTTGGTTGGATACTATTTTACGTGACTCAAGTTGTGTATTTCCGATTTCAACACATTTTGGTGGCTTTGTATTGTTTACGAGTTGTGGGTTGTACCTGCCCATTTGTGAAGTCTGAAGCCAGCACTTTTTAGGATGTTTACAAGTTGTAATTTGCTTTGCACGGCTTGTTTAACTGTATCGCTACCTGACATTACATCATCTACATACATATCGGTTCGTAAGATTTTTGATCTCACTGGAAACATTTTTTGTTCATCTGTGCTTAGTTT